TTTAGAACGTTTTTTTTTTTTGCAAATCAGAAAAAAATGGACACGGCGAATCCGAGAAACAACAAATTAAATTGGTGTGACCTAATTAACTTATACATAATGTTAGCCTAATAGCTATAATGTTAGTACTACAACTACAGCTACAGCTACCCTAGGATTTGGTCCAAGCCAAGCAGCTACCAGATTTTAAGACCTGGCAGTGAGGGAGGTAGTGAATGTCCAGCCCCTAAGCCATAATGGACATTCCCTTGCCGCTGACTTGAACCCTAACCCCCCAAGGATACAGCAAGGTTGGTGATGGTGAATGCAGGTTAGTATAACAAATAACAAAGCTGCTCACCTGGGTATCTAGGTACATAAACAACAGGAGTCCTCTTGCTGATCATAAGGCCAGGCTAAAGAACTTCTCTTTTCAACAGAACTTATAACGTCTGACTCAGTGAAGTCCTTTGGCCTGACAAGAGCTAAAAGTTTGGTGTGCCTTGTGATTATGCAAATGTTAGAAAACTAAAAGTACCATAAACTACCAGAGCACCATATAACTTTTCTGAAAATTACCCATTGATATGTAAAAAGGATCTAAAAGCTCTAGTATATTTTTTATAAAAACAAAAATTACTTAAACTTTCAATTTAGTACTTGAAAGTTAAAGTAATTACATTTTGACAACTATGTCGCCGCTCTAACTCCAGTTAACGTGACTTGTAGGAAGTCTAAAGGGGGACTCCACTTTTCCTTGCGTAAAGTTGAAGTCCCGCAAACTTTATTCAGAATTTTTTCAGAATCTACTTATAATCTTTATTCAAAATAAACACTATCTAATGTGTGTATCCGCTGTGGTGCCTTCTGGTGTCGTCTTCTGGACTTTACCTAACTACTTTAACTTTCACTTATGGACGAATAAAAGAAACTTCTTGTACGTACATTGCAAGACTGGTGCATAGTTACATCATTGCATGTCCGTTTTATCACTTACAAAATGGACTGGGAAAGTCGACTGCAATTTAATCTAATACAGCTTTTGATGCCTGACTTCCAAAACATCAATAGATATTCATCTGCAGATCTATTATACTGCTATCTCTCTGACTACAGCAATCTTGGATCAAGTGTGTATTTCTTACAGATCTACATATTGCAATACTATGCTAGAACCCCTGTACTTTTAGTCAATGTTATCAAAGATCAACACAAGGCACTTAATATGTCCAAAATGTTCCCTACGTTTAACTTAGTAACTGTAAATTCCCCATTAAAGTACACACATTTTAGCACTCAAAAAAGGGTCTGGTAATCACTCAAGCATGAAACAATTGTACAAGTAAAAAGTTTGTATTGTTACAAAAGACTGGTTGCCAAATAATGAAACATTCTAAGCTGCATGATTATACAGCAAAGACATCTATAGAAGTCATTGAGAAACAGCATGAATTTGAATTTATTCTGTTCATATTTTGTTCAAGATTGGAGAGGGAATAAGTTTTCTCAGCTGTAGGCCAGAATTGTCTCTCAACAGCCCAAATATGCCCGGTGCGTACTTCAAATGGGAATTTACAATACTGCAAGAAAACACACTAACCTGTTTAACAAGCTGTCTTCTTTTCTTGAGCTTGCTTGCTTCAAAGTAAACTGGAAACCGTGACATCGGCCAAAAGGATGATCTGTAAAAAAAAGAGGAGGATAAACATTAGTATATTTTAAATGTGAATTTATGGCATTGCAATAAACCAAAGTATTATACTAACCTGTTTGACAAGCCTTCTTTTCTTCATGCTTGTGTTCTTCAAAGCAACCTGGAAACAGCGGCATCAGGCAAAGGGTGATCTGTAAAAAATGGGGAGAGAAACGTTAGTATACATCAGGACAGTTTGCAGCTAGTATTTTCCATCTATTCCAGAATCTGAATCATACCAGATTTGCTTCAGTCCATCTGCAGTACCAAGCTGGGAACCGGGTGGCGCTGCTCGCTGCACGTATTTATCATGTACATGTATTTAGTTAGGTATAAGCAAGTTTAAAAAAAAAACTCAACATGAATGAGAACATGTTAAAGTGAAACAAAAGTAAAACCGCTGAATTTGCAACGTTAGAAAACTTTCCTCGGGAAAGGACCGTGAGTCCGGCTCCATCCAGGCGGGGACCTCGCCAAATTTCACCGAAAACATAAGGTTGAACGCTACGGTACGGAGTCTGTCAGCACCATGCTAATTTGTCTGCCAGATTCCGAAAAATCAGTCCAGAAAAAACACATTGGCGCTACTAAATTCAGCTACGCTTTTCTCGACAATCGTGAGGAAAATCTGTGAGAGCACAACACTTCTGAGACAACTTTTGGTGCATACTTGCCCCGCGTACGTACTAAAGTCTGAGGTATAAGGGCGATGATTGACAGCTCAGTCAGACGGTCAGTCGTCATCGTCCCAAAATTTAAACAAAATCAAATTCCTTGAGGATTTATAAAAGAATTTCAGAAAATAGGTCAAGCTCAACTCTATTAAGATAGTAACTATCGTAACTGGTCCCCAAACCTCGGCCCGTAACGGGTCTGGCTACACACGTACACGGGACCCCCGCACCTGTTTCACCGGGCCCCACACGTGCACTTGAGACCGACCGCTACTCAATATTTCAACATTTTCCCGATAAAAACTACAAAAATAAACATGAAAGTGGTACTACTAGATGTAACAACATTTTATCTTATAATTGTGGGGTAAAATTGGTGAGAACATAACAATTAAATGCAACTTCTGACACAACATGTACACCTGCCACGTGCTGACACGAGCGATGATTGACAGCTCAGTCAGACGGTCAGCCGCCGTCATTTTTCAACATTTTCTCGATAAATTCTGAGGTAAAATATCTAAAAGCACCACTACTAGATGTCACAACATTTTGTCTGGTGATTCTGAGGTAAACATGAGGGGAGAAATTAATTTGTCTTGAATTTTGACCAACGATATACATGTGCCTACTTCTCCCACCGGGTAGTGCCAACACACGGGACACCCCACCTATTTTCCCGCCTTTTTTCTCAATATTTCCTCTAAAAACCTGCTAAAACCGACCTACAAGTGATGCTACTGGATGTCACAACATCTTATCTAATGATTCTGAGGTAAATATCGGGTGGAAATCAAACTGTCTCGAAATTCTGACGGACGATATTGCCAGCTCCGAGCGCCGTGCAAGGTAGTGCCAACACACGGGACCCCGCCCGTTTTTCCCGGGACCGTCCATTACGAAAGACCGCTACTCAACATTTTAAGACATATCGTCGATAAAACCTGCTAACACCGACCTAAAAGTGATGCTACTAGATGTCACAACATTTTATATAATGATTCTGAGGTAAACATTCGGTGGAAAATCAAATTGTCTCGAAATTCTGACGGACGCAAGTGCGCCGCACAATGCTTTGCCAACACACGGGGAACCCCGCCCGTTTCGCCGGGACACCTCCTACGTGAGAGCGCTACTCAACATGTTTTCTCAACATTTTGCCGATAAAATCTGCTAAAACTAATCTGAAAGTGATACTACTAGATGTCACAACATTTTATCTAATGATTCTGAGGTAAATATCGGGTGGAAAATCAAATTGTCTCGAAATTTTGACGGACGCAAGTGCGCCGCACCATGCTTTGCCAACACACGGGGCAACGCGCCCGTTTCGCCGGGACACCTCCTACGTGAGACCGCTACTCAACATTTTAAAATTTTCCCGATAAAATCTGCTAAAATTAAGCTGAAAGTGATACTACTAGATGTCACAACATTTTATCTGAAGATTCTGAGGTAAACATTCGGTGGAAAATTTATTCTTCTTCGAAATTTTGACAGACAAATTATATCTAACTCATTTTAGCGGTAACAAGTAAAGTACAAGTAAGTTTTAGCGGTATGCAACTACTAGTATATACTGATGGACCCGGGCTTTCGTTTCAAAGATTTCTGACAGGAAATGCTGGAGGAATACAGAGAAAAGTTCCACCTTCACGATGCTTTGACCGCAATAACCAACGTCTTTGTAAAATAAGTATCATTTCATGACAATTAAATTTCTGACAGAAAAATTTAGACATAAATTTCCTGTCACTGAGTAAGTGATTCTAAAACTGAAGTTGACGCCAAAGTTCCTGTCAGAAATGTCTTAAAAATAAGCGAAAATAAGCCAGGACACACGACAGACTGCTCTAGGTACTCTATTCTAGGTAATACATGGGTAAAACATGAAATTCTACGGCAGAAAATAATAAATTCTTACCTCAATTCTGACGGGTGTGCTGCACGGGTAGCGGCTCTCTCGTCTCTGGCGGGAAAACTTCGGTGATTGGTGCGTCGGAATTTGGACTATTACATTTTGCTACTGAGGTGAAATCAAATAGGCAATGTTTTTACTTTCTTATCATTTGGCGGTATTTTCAGAATATTTGACTTGAAATGCATAAAAAAATTATATATATTTATTTTATTACATAAAATGGAGATAGTCTTTTCATATCTTTGTCGGTCAAGAATGAAAAAAGGAAAGGAGAAACAGTACACCCCCACCCGGCAGTCTGTTAATGTTTTAGCATTATGGCCTGTTCTATTTTTCGTTGGTGTGGGGTGAGATGATGTTTTTAAACTATTTAGAACAGAGCATTTTATGGACACTTTAAAAACAATCGTCGTCTGTTTAGGCTCATTTGTTTAAGGACCTCTGATGACCACGTTACAGTTCATTTCGTGTCGGTGGAGTGAATCCATCCATCCATCCACCCCGTCCACCCCCAGTTTAGAATGGTCGGTCTCCCGCCACTCTGAGAAAGGGGGACGCTCCATTTCGAGTCAACAGGGGCACAAAATCACTGTCGGGGACGGTGCAGTAACTATCTGGGGTTCTATTTAAGCGCGGTTCTACAAATTGTCGCTTTCTACTTGTGTGGTAGTAATGTGTAATGTAATAATTTCAATTATGATTTTAATAGCGTGTACGTCTACCACCAATATTGTAAGTGATGTAATACATGTAGTGTATTGTAAATATTGGATGATGACTGTTGTAGTAACTGTATACATGCAGGTATATACAAAAATGTACCTCCGTGCTACATATATATATAGAGAGAGAGCCATGATGATACAAAGTTATTATGCAACTTGTCAGGTATTTTTGTCACCTTCATTAACAGAACAAAACCTGTTCCCAGGCTTCTGCTGTCTCCTGTAAACTTATGTAACGTTATATATGCATGTATGTATGTATGTATGTAGGAACGAATGCCAGGAAGACACGGTTATTCAAATAAAGTTTCAAAGTTTCTGGTTGTATGTGTCTGTCTAGACTGGCCAGATGTGCAGAAAACTTACTTCCCTACAACATTTTACCTCTCAAATGTCAGTTCATTGAGTTAGAAAATGTTAATCAGCTTAAAAAATTATGTCCCTTGCAGGGTTCATCCTCAAAAAAGTCTAGGGTCGGCAAGTTTTTCTAGGGTCAGTCGGGAAACAGGAAACACAACATTTTTTTTTCCTAGGCCTCAGACACCTTGCAGCAGTACAGTAAAAGACTGGATACTACGACTGGATAATACTAGTTAACAGGAACACTGGAGGTTTTCCTCCAAGGAAGAGCTAGCCATCTTAGATAACAGTCATACTTATAAACTACAACTTGTCAGAAAGTAACACTACAACATGCTAATGAATAAACAGGCTAGCACCTTCACATAACAGTCAGAACTACATCAAATCCAGCAAAGTTTAGCATGGTGAGGTCATGGGCAAAGTTCCAAGTTTAAATGTCCTTAAGTCAAATGTCCTAAGGTCAAAGTTCCCAAGATCAGAACATCTGAGGTTGAAGGTCAACGGGTCAGGATGATGAGTGAGAAAGTTGGCCATGTCGGAGGTTAAAGGTCAGCAGGTCAGAAGTAATCCATGTCGTCGGGAGCGTCCAGATCTCGGTACTCGATGATGGAGCGTGGGTCCGACCGGCCGCTGCAACGGGACGGAACATGGGTTACATTTGGGGATCATATTACCAAGTTGCTGGAGTAACTGTTTTGGGCATATCTTATTACCTGGATGTCTAACCTTCACCAACATAACATGGGTTATGATACATAGACATGTGGTTCTACCCACCGTCCCCTGGGTTTGTGTCCGTAGCCGCCGCCGCCTCGCCCGTAGCCGTCAAAGCCGCCTCGTCCGTACGGGGGCATGAACCCGGGACCTGCAGGGCACAAACACCTGGTGAACTCTAACCTGGGGCAGACCTGATGATGAACTCTGACCTGGGCAGACCTGACGGTGAACTCTGACCTGGGGCAGACCTGATAATGAACTCCGACCTGGGGCTGACCTGATGATGAACTCTGACCTGAGGCTGACCTGATGATGAACTCTGACCTGAGGCAGATGTTTTGCCTGGTACACAGTGTTGCTCTGTCTATAGTGTTGTAAAGAATGTGAGAGAAGATTCTGTGGAAATTTGGAGGCTAAGTAAAAGCACAAACTGCTGTCCCAGCCCGACTCTTGGCTGCCCAGAGAATTACCTAGCCTAATATTGCTGTCGTATAACAGACTTATTGTTTGTGGCTGAGTGGTAGAAACTCTGCTCTATAGTCGTGGGGGGTCGGGGGCTGCCCCGTACATGAACCCCCCTGGAGGCCCCTGGTACATGGGGGGTACCCTCCCCAC